TACTCAAACAGAAATACATTTTGATTTTACAATTACATGTACTTTTGTCCATTTCTTTTATTATTATTATATTGAATTAAAATGCTTTGTCTCTAAAATACTTCTTCTTTACACAATTAAATATAAACTATGAAAGTAAATATATTTATGATTGAACTCAGATGAATGAAAGCATTATTAAAGCATATTTAGCATTATACCTTGAAAATGGCCATGTTGAGATATTCAATATCTCATCCCCATTGTTACTCTTGATATTTCTTAGATGGGGAGGGAGGGGGTTAATAAATAAGCATTAAATAGGGGGAGGGAGAGAGAGATTTAGACCATTATTCCATTGTTCAATGAGGATGTTTTTATTTATTAAATATTTTATTCAGACTTTCAATGTAGATGAAAATATTTTACAAAATTATAATATCTTAACAATAGATAGAACTCTAGAAAACATATTTGGACACTTTTTCATTTTTAACCAGTTATAGACTATGCACTTATTAAACTATATATAACTTATTGTTTATGGTAACAGTCATACACTATTCATTACATTATGTATATATATTGAGACCCTGGTTTACCTACTTCAATGACATATAGCCTATTCCTAAAGGTACTGGACTAGTATAATGTTGGCCAGTGACAGGTTCCAATCATTCATTAAGTGTTAAGTATTTTTATTTACAAGATCCATGTATAAGTAATAAATATATAAGATCTAAGAATTCCTAAACAACATCAATAAAAATAATTCAAAATTGAAGTACTAGAGGTAAATTAAAAATCACTTTTGATTGTTTATAAATTAATTAATTATGGTAAATTCAAGATGACATTTTTTTAATAATTATTTTTAATTTAGTTTCTCCTCTGTTTAGTAAATTTACTGCTGGGAACCAAGTCAATTTTGCATTTGAGTGTTGTGACTAGTGAGAATTAAAGTTAAAACATGTTGAATGTTTAAAATAAAGGATGTCAGCCATACAGTCACAAGAAAGCAAAATGATGTTTTCATTTATGTGTTTTTCATATATTTTGTTCGTTTGTTTTGTTGTTGTTTTGTTTTTTATTTTTATTTATTATTTTTTTAGTGGGGGGGGGGGGGGTAATTAGCAATAAGTAGACTTTTATTTTATTATTTATTTTGCTATAATATGGTAAACTTTCAGTATTTTAAAAGCTCTTCTATCATGAAACATAGCTTTGGCAAATGCAACAAGATTTTCCCAAGTGATTGATATGGTATTTAGTAACTGAAACAGAAGATTCATATATTATATAGTGAAACTACAGAGAGTAGTTTGGGGCAAAATCATTAAAAAATTGCATCTGCTGTTACACAAAATATTTTGGGTTCGAACGTTTTAGGTACGAATCTGATAGAAAATATATGCGTCAATACTTCTGCATTGAGTGGGTCTTGTATGAAATTAGTTACATTCTAATCATTTTCTGTCCCAGTTGACGGATGATTTTGATTTATAACATTATATCAACGAATATTTGCTCATTTGCAGTACATTTTAATTTGTAAACAAAGCCCATAGCAACCATGCAAGTTATTCGTACCTAAACACCAGTTCCGAGGTCATAAACAAGTTCATCCTACGTAAAAGTTATATTCTGTACATTTGTTTAATGATAATATGTCACTAGTGTGGTGACAATTAATATTTTAATTGAAAATTTGAACCGATTTTAACTCTACTATCAAAATTTTTGATTGTAATAAAGATGGGAGCGTAAACCATGTGTCAATTTTGACATATTCCGCGAAAACAACATAACCGGATATAGAATTTATTGCATGTTGGGATTAGTATTGGTTAGTTTAACCAGCGGTTAATTTTAACCATTTTGGTTAGTTAACCTTTTGGTTATCCCGGTTTATACAAGAGACTAACCAAATTGGTTAGTTAACCAAAGTTGGTTAAATTTAACCCACGGTTAGCGTTTAACCCAGGGTTAATTTAACCAACGTTTATACAATTGGGTGCTGAAGAAAATAATGCTGAATATGGAGTATTTGCGGTAAAAGTAGCAACATGGTATTTTGACTTCCATTCAAAGTACTAAGTAATTATAACTTTACTAACATTCAAAGTGCAATAGAAGCACCAGATGGCTAAGTTATATTGCCTAACAGATACCATTTTGGAACCGGTATCAGAACACCAAAATAAAAAAAAAGCTTTTGGGAAATCAAGATAACAAAATTGGCTTAATGGGCCTTTAAGAAGTTATAAAATTGAATTATTATGCCATTAGTTATCAACATACCGGTATAGACAAATTTTGGATAAGATAGTGAATTTATGAATTCGATATGTCGAAATATGGATTTATGATTTTATATATTTAAATCAGGGGGTCTCTATCGTTTTCAGCAGATATATACAAAAAATACAGACTAAAATTGATTTAATACAAAAGGCAATAAACGAGACATTCATTATAAATAATACGCAATGTTATAGATTATTTGAACTCTTGAATAAAACCATTGCTTCTTATATTGCTTCACAATTGTTTCAGTTGTGCCTAGATGTTGGTGATGCACAATTTACTCACACCGGCATAGTGTCACGTGATCCGTTTCGACAACCTCCATTTTACCCTGAGCCAGTTGGTATATTTACAAACCACCTGAGTTTCCCCGACAATGCCATTGGTTTTACTGAAAGCAGACAGGTCACTCGTCGCTCTTCCCGTCCAGATAGGTACAGAAACTATGGTTCACGCGGGAAAAGATCGGCTATAGACTACCAGGAAGTACGCAATGACTTCCCAACAAAGCATGCAGTGAGATATGAACAAGCAAGAGTGAAACGTCAAGCTCCGATGTACCAGACTTGGGATTTCCACCCTTCTTCAATAGCTAGAACAAAGGCAGCTGATAAACTTGCACTGACTGTGCGCCAACGTATCGAACAAAATCCTTCTATAATAAAGTCGGCCACAGAATTGTCAAACAATCAAAATAACGTACCGATCAACGCACCAGCTAGTAATGCTTTCGGGCAATTAACGACAGACCAAGTAAATGCTGGCATGAACGAACAATTGCCTTTTTCTCATTTTAACGCAATTTTAAAGCAAAATAATCTAGCTCTTGATCCAAAAGACTTCAAAGTTACCAAGGATACGAAAGCTATAAATGTTGCTCGAGATATTCAACACAAGAAACCAACGGCTGATTTAAGAAGTTCGAAGATAGGAAATAAAAGCGTTGTTAATAGGAAGTTGAAGATTAAAAATACACGCCAAACAACCGGTCCACCATACAGTAACACGCCTAGCCCACCAACAGCCAATCAATTACAATATGACCTTACCTTCGCAGCAGCAGCATTATTGAATGGTGACTCGAGTTTCGATGCTTTGATATCAAATGATGTAAATAGCAAAACTCAGCCACACAGTCAAAACAAGCGTTTAGGTACTGTGAACAAAGTGGCATCAAGTAAACAACAAAATAATAACCAAGGAATGATACATAACTTACAAAAACTTAACAATATCATTGACCGAGCAGCACAAATGCTGATGAAGAAACGTAAGGAGAAGAATTCGAAAGATACTTTATTGAAAACATCGATGACGGGAAGGCCAACGACTGTCAAACCAAAGGTTAAAAGGCCACGCATTCAGACAAGTGTTAAGCCGAACCAGAATGCCAAACATACAGTTTCATCCGTTAGCCAAGGAAATATCGTCCAAAAACAGTCTACTAAGGGAGCTAATTCAGTACCACAATCTGGGACACTTAATGCACAGCAAAGTCTACAGTCAATGTATCCACAATTCTATGACTTACAGGCCCAATTATTCCAGGACCCTGTGCTACAACAAGATCAAGTACAAACGCAACACCTGATGGAAAATCTTTTGCAACAGATCCAGAATAAAGGAATACCGTCAACACAACAATTCCAGCAAGACATGTTAAGTTTGATGGCAAGTCAAAAACAATCAGAACCAACGCAAAATGTGCAAGAGAGGCAACAACAGGTAAATCAACACGGTATTTTAAACACCAAAAATTCTAAATCTTTACAAGGTACACAACAAGTAAATGACCAACAATTCCAAAAGCATCCGCATCAAACGCAAACATCAAGGAACGGCAAACAATTGCCAAAAGGACCATCACTTCAACAAAGTCATCAAAGAATATCTGCATCACTTAAACAAAATAAATTACCCCAAAATAAAACAGTAAATGCTCAACATCAACCAAATAGACAGAGATTGAATCAACAACCGTATCATACATTATCGACTAATAGTCAAATACTTCAGCAAGAACAGCAGACTTTTCAGAAGCAAATGTTGAATGCTCAAAACCACCAAAATCCTCGACCAGTACCTCGAAAAAATCCATCTAATCAACAAATGTTGAATAATCAAAACCAAGCAACACCAGGACAATTACCTTTAAATTATCAAATGCAACAAGAGATGTTGAGTATTCAAAATCAGCCAACACCCCGGCCATTGTCTCCTATTTATCAACAACAACAGCAAATGTTGAATAATCAAAATCAACCGACACCTGGACCATTGCCCCCAAATTATCAGCAGCAACAACAAATGTTGAATAATCAAAATCAACCGACACCTGGACCCTTATCCCCAAATTATCAGCAGCAACAACAAATGTTGAATAATCAAAATCAACCGACACCTGGACCATTATCTCACAATTATCAACAGCAACAACAACAACAATTGTTGAATAATCAAAACCAGCCAACACCCGGACCATTATCCCCAAATTATCAGCAGCAACAACAAATGTTGAATAATCAAAATCAACCGACACCTGGACCATTATCTCACAATTATCAACAGCAACAACAACAACAATTATTGAATAATCAAAACCAGCCAACACCCGTACCATTATCCCAAATTATCAGCAGCAACAACAAATGTTGAATAATCAAAATCAACCGACACCTGGACCATTATCCCCAAATTATCAGCAGCAACAACAAATGTTGAATAATCAAAATCAACCGACACCTGGACCATTATCTCACAATTATCAACAGCAACAACAACAACAATTGTTGAACAATCAAAACCAACCAACACCTCGGCCGTTATCTCAAAATTACCAACAGCAACAACAATTGTTGAACAATCAAAATCAGCCAACCCCTGGACCATTATCTCAAAATTACCAACAGCAACAACAATTGTTGAACAATCAAAACCAACCAACACCTGGACCATTATCTCAAAATTACCAACAGCAACAACAATTGTTGAACAATCAAAATCAGCCAACCCCTGGACCGTTATCTCAAAATTACCAACAGAAACAACAATTGTTGAATAATCAAAATCAGCCAACCCCTGGACCATTTTCTCAAAATTACCAACAGCAACAACAATTGTTGAATAATCAAAATCAACCAACACCTGGACCATTATCTCAAAATTACCAACAGCAACAACAATTGTTGAATAATCAAAATCAGCCAACCCCTGGACCGTTATCTCAAAATTACCAACAGAAACAACAATTGTTGAACAATCAAAACCAACCAACACCTCGGCCATTATCTCAAAATTATCAACAGCAACAACAAATTTTGAGTAATCAAAATCAACCGACACCTGGACCATTATCTGCAAATTACCAACAGCAACAACAATTGTTTAATAATCAAAACCAGCCAATACCCGGACCATTATCTCCAAATTATCAACAACAACAACAAATGTTAAACAATCAAAATCAACCAACACCTAGACCATTATCTCCAAATTATCAACAACAACAAATGTTGAATAATCAAAATCAACCGACACCTGGACCATTATCTCTTAATTATCAACAACAACAACAATTGTTAAATAATCAAAATCTGCCTACCCCTGGACCATTTCCCCCAAATTATCAACAGAAACAACAAATTTTGAGTAATCAAAATCAACCAACACCTAGACCATTATCTTCAAATTATCAACAGCAACAACAATTGTTAAACAATCAAAATCAACCAACACATAGACCATTATCTTCAAATTATCAACAGCAACAACAATTGTTGAATAATCAGAACCAAGCAACGCACATGAATCGACCGAAATTACAGCAACAATTTCTACAGAATAAACAACATCACCAACAACAACTAAACCCTACACAAGGGCGAAACTCACAATCTAATAAATCGCAACTGTCGCCATCAAAACAAAATCAAAATCCAAATACAAAACACGCACAACAACGCACGAATCAGAAATCAATGTTGTCTCAATCACAAACTATTCTATCTCATCAAAATATGCAACAACCGCATCGACAAACGTTTAGCTCCCACACAGTACAGACACCTCTACCACAGATACCAACTTTAGCATCCGCATCAAAACCAGTAAAGTCCAATGCTGTTCGAGGAATACCTTTATCAATTGATGGACCTGGGTTATCAGCTTTTAACCATGTCCCATCTACAAAAAGACAACCACAGGCAAAGGGTACATTGAAAAAGACGCCAACTCCCTTCCCGTCTAGAAAAGTGAACAGTCGAAAAAACGGACAAAGACGAAGAATTCCACATGAACGATACATAATGTACAGATCAACTACCACATCATCTCCAAGGCATTCTGAGAGAAGGAGACAAAGAAATCATGGCAAACGTATTTCTCGCCCTTCAAAAGAAGTAACAACTGTTCCTTCAACAAATAATTTCCCTAAACGTCCTCTGAAGCCCATGCGTTTGTGGAACTCATCTCCTAATACTTCTGCTGGAAATCCGGTATGGAGACAACCGCTGGAGCAGATACAGAGAACACAATCCTCTCATCCAACACCAATTGTTCCAAGTCCACCAAATACACCGTCAACACGAGGATCTGTCAACGGTGGGAGCTATATTAAGAATTGGTTTCATCCTAGGAAATTTGGTAACTCTCACGGCAATCCACATGAATCTGTACAAACAAGTTATTCCGAAACGGGTAACAGTATTAAGTCACAAACCAAAAATAACAAACAGACGGGTTCAGTCGGAAGGCAACGTACACGATCCGAACAAATAATATCTCAACAAACCAGGAACGGGCGTCGGCCTGGTATTAGATTATTGTCAAAAGACACACAACAGTCTAAAGATCTACCTAAAAGAAAGAAACAACCATACATGAATAATGGTCATTACAGTTTTAAAACTACAGCCAAACCTTCAATAACGCCTACTTCAGCTCTGCCCGCCCAGAAATCTATGGGATCAGCTGCAAATTTGCATAATAATGCATGGAACAAGCCGAATTCTGCTACAACAGTACCGCCAATTTATTCTACAGGCAATACTTGGAACCAGTATCCTGAAAAAGAACGACTATTTTCAGCAACAGCAGACGCTTTCAAACTTGCCCCAGGAACTGTGAATTTGAGTTTAAACGCACATCTAAATAAGAGTAATGTCCAAAATAACGTTTCAAATCAGTCGACTGTAAGCGATGTGAAGAAAAATAAAACAATTTCAATAACGCAACATATAAAAACGTCTAACAATGCATCTCAAGGAAGACATAACCATGCGCATGCGCCAATCAACTTTAATGTTTTCTTAGAAGTAAAACCTACACCAAAGCCACAACGAAATGCGTCACAAG